TTAAGATTTCATAGAAGCAGAAGTTTTAGGTGACTAGTTCCAAATGTGGCTATGATATTTATATTTTGTTGTCTAGAGGAAGTGAAATTCATTGAATTTAGGATTTTAGGAATTGAAAATTGAGGACAGTGTTTCTCAAACTATATTGGATGAAATACCTATAAATAGATCACTGTCACCTTGAGTGTGGGTCCTGGGTTAACCAACCTTGTTTGCTAGCCTAGAATATTTCTAAGGGTAGGGCCCAAGAATACATATTTCTAGCTTGCAAGTTAAGTGATTCTGATGAACAGAATTGGAGCAGGTTTAAGAACCTCTGGGATAGGTGTTAGATGTTTTATTCTGAAGGATTTTTGAATAGGCTCATAGTGATTTAAAAGTTAGGTAAGGAGGATGATCAGTAGAGAATGATCAATGTTGAAGTCAGTGCCTTAAAGGTTGAAAAAGTAGCTATAGGTGATTGAGGAGTATATTATAGTCAATTGTGGAGGCTTCAAAGAATAAGTGATAATATTGGTATAATAGAATCTCCTTTTGTTCTGCAGTAGGTGTGTGTAAGAATGAGCACTTTCCTATCTCTAGTAGACTGTAAGAAGAAAGTGAATGGAGTCTTCTGTGGTGCCATTTGAAGTTGTAGGCACCTGGAGAGTAAAGCAAAAGAGGAAGAAACAGAACAGTGGAATTCATAAAATCTAGGTCAAAGTAAAACAAAAAACTAGGTTACTTAGATATTTTGTCAATTAATTTTGAAATTTCTCTCGTTTTGAAACATCGCTCTGTTCAACAGTTGAGAGAATCAGGGTTGGATGAGGGGGACTTCCAAAAATTTATATAAAATAGAATTAATATACAGGTTTATTTTGGTGCAAAAAAATTTGAAATCCATGCATAGTTTTTTCATGATACATGTTCTCCATGAATGTTTTGGCAGACCCCTTTGTTTAGAGACCACATATATTAAAAGTATATATTTTTGAACCCTAAAATCCCACCTCTGAGAGGAATATAGAACTGAAAGAAGATTCAGGTATCTTCTGTCTTATGCTGACTGTGAGGTCTGTCATCTCTTTAGTTATCTGATTCAAAATAAGTTCAGTGTAATTTGATAAGACTCCTACAGTGGGCCTCATGAAGTGGAAGGAGGAAATACTAAATGGGAAGAAAGGAGATAAATGACTGAAACAAGTGTTCTGGAAGGTTCCTCGGGATTCCTTGGAAAAGAGGCATTTTGTGAAGAAGGCTGGCTTTAAGGTTATAAACTTGACCATACATACTGATATAAATAGCAAGAAGTTCTAGTTAATGTGACAATACCTTTGCCCACACCACCTTTTTTTTTTGGAGAGATTTTCGCTATAGGGCGCGTGTGCTCGCCAGACAGAGACATAGAGACAGAAAGCGAGAAATCATCCCCCAGGGGGGATGGTCACACCGCAATCCCTTCTCCTCCATTCTCCTCTCAGGATCTTGGGCACGCATGCACACGCGCCCGGCGTGAGTTTTAAGCCACCAGGTCCGGGACACGAACCGCGGTCGACTACGTGGGAGTCCAGTGACATAGCCATTAACGCTAACTGCTGGTTCCCCCTTGGCCTAAAGACGGGCTGCTTTACTTTTTTGTTGCTGCATTATCCATATAGACAATTGTTCACTTGAAATGATTTTATTTTTAACTGTAGTGAAATGTGAGTAACACAATTTATTATTTATAAATTTCTTTAGTTTTACCATGGGGCATGTGCACTTGCTGAAGAGAGAGGGAAGGAAAGTGAGAAAACAGCTCCCATGGGGGGCATGGCCATGCTACAGCCCGTTCTCCATTCTTCTCTTGAGATTTTGGGTGCATGTGTACACATGCCCAGCAGGTTTATTTTAAAGCTGCTGAGTCTGGGGCTTGAAGCACGCAGCCAGCCATGTGGGACCCAGGTGTCTTAACCACCAGACTGCCATCTGGCCACATATTTAAACCATTTTTAAGTTTACAAATCAGTGTGGTTATTTTGATTTACAGCGTTGTACAGCCATCACCATGATACAGTTCTACATTTTCATCATTACAAACAGGAACTCTAAACATTAGGTAGTAACTCCTCATTCTTTCCTTCCTCTCAGCCCCTGGTAACTTTTAACCTACTTTCTGTCTCAATAAATTAGCCTGTTTTGATATTTCATATATGTGGAATCACTCAACATTTGTCCCTTACTGTTTATTTTATTTAGCAACATGTTTTCAAGGTTTATCCATATTGTAGCACATACTAAAATTTCATTCCTGTTTAGTTAATATACCACCTACTGTTTATTTATCTATTGAGTGACACTTAGGTTGTATCCACTTTTTGACTAGTTATTCTTCAGTAAAAATTGACAAGAGTATCTGAGTTCGTTTTCAGTTCTTTAGGCATATACCTGGAACAAGAATTGCTGAGTTATGTGGTAAAATCAACAGCAGTTTTATCATTTTACATTACCACAAGCAGTGTTTGAGTGTCCAATTTGTCAATATCCTTGGCAGTACTTAGCCCTCCCTTTTAAAATTGTAGCCATCCTAAATAGATTTTATTGTTGTGTTTGTTTTTTGTTTTTTGGGGTTTTTTTTGCAGAATATATTGGGGTTTTATTTTTTGTTTTGTTCAACCAGTCTATATCTTTTTTGAGGGGGAATTTAACCATATACATTCAAAGTTATTACTGATAGGTACATATTTACTCCTATTACTGTGTTAATTAGTTTCTGGTTGTTTTGTGTGCTTTCTTTTGCTTATCTTTGTGTTTTTTTGATTTAGTGATAAGGATTGATTCCTTTCTCTTTCTTATTCATGTGATTGTATATCTGGCTTGTTTTCATGATGGTATTTTTCTTCTTTTCACTTCTTTTTTTTTTATTACAACTTGTTTTTATTTTACATTTTTCCACAAACATTTACTTTACATAGCAAAGAATTTTAGCTCATACTCCATAATTCTTGACAGTTTACAAACAACTTTCAAAGTTTCAAAATACTGAATTTTAAAGATAATGTTCAAAATATGTCTTATAATTTTGTATAATTTTATAACTCTATAACAACAGAAGCAGTATGTTTTCAGATTTATACATATATACATTTAGAGTGCAGACACTCGGTATATATTAAGTGGGGATATTGTTGTGCTTTTGATCTGCATTTCTCTGTTTTCTAGAAGTTTAAGCATTTGTGTGTGTGTGTGTGTGTGTGTGTGTGTGTGTGCTTATTGGCTTTTTGTATTTCTTTGGAGAAATGTTTACTTAGGTCCTTCACTCACTTTTAGATTTGGTTGTCTTTGTTTTTGAGTTGTTGATATTCTTACATATTCTAGATGTTAAACCTTTGTCATACATGTCATTTACAAAGATATTTACCTATTCTGTAGGTTGTCTTTCTACTTTTCTTGACAGTTTCTTTTGATGCACACAAAAACTTTTAATTTTGATAAAGTCTTATTCATTTCTTTTGTTGCTGTACCTTTGATGTCATATCTTAGATTCCGTTGCCAAATCCAAGGTCGTGAAGATTTATCTCTATATTTCTTCTAAGAATTTTATTTCTTATATTTAAGTTACTGGTCTGTTTTGATTTTAGTTTTTGTATATGGTGTGATGCAAGTATCTGGACTTGATCATCTCTTTGAAACTCTGTTAGCTATAAATGTATGGGTTTATTTGGGGACTCTCAATTCTGTTTCCTCGATGTATTTGTCTATACTTAGGCCAGTGCTACACTGTACTGTAACTTCATAATAAGTGTTGATTTTGCTAAGTATAAATTCTTCAGCATTTTTTTTGTTTCAAGATCAGTTTGGTTACTTAAGACCCCCTCCAATTCCATATGAATTTGAGTAGTAATTTTTCCTTTTCTGCAAAAAACACTATTGGGATTTTGATAGTTATGTTGAATCTGTAGATCACTTTGGGTAATTTTAACATATAAGTGTTCCAATCCAAGAGCACTGGTTGTCTTTCCATTTACTTAGATCGTATTTAATTTATTTCAGTAATGTTTTATAATTTTCCATGTGTAAGTCTCTTACTTCCTTGGTTTAGTTGATTCCTAGTTATTTTATTCCTTTGGATGCTATTATAAATGGAATTGCTTTCTTAATTTTGTTTTCCGATTATCAATAGCTAGTTTATAGAAACAACTGATTGTGTGTGTGTGCTTATAACCTGCAACCTTGCTGAATTTATTAGTTTTCTTTTGAATTTTCTGTGTGTACAGAATAGTTTTACTTCTTCCTTACCAGTTTGAATGCCTTCTGCCTTCTGCTGCTTCTCATCTAATTGCTCTGCCAGAACTTTCCGTAGCATTGAATAACCGTGGTTAAAGAAGATATCTTTATCTTGAATATTTTTCATTTTTAAAATTTGGCCTGGAGTATCAGTAACTGGCGTAATGACTACATCACTGGACTCCCATATAGTTGATAATGGTTTAAGTCCTGTATCCAGAGGCTTAAAACTCACACAGGGTACGTGTGTGTGCATGCCCAAAATCCTGAGAGGAGAATGGAGGATAAGAGATTGTGGTGTGGCTGTCCCCTCCGGGGGGGTGATTTCTTGCTTTTTTTTCTTTCTGGCATGTGCACGTGTCCTATAACAAAAATCTCTCTTAAAAAAGAAAAAAATAAATAAAAAAGGAGCCAGGGGCTGGACAGTGGCAAGTAGTAACACACCATTTTGTGAAGCTGACCCATGTGAGAATGTTTTGAGTTCTTGTCTAGGACCTCCCTGAACATTCTGGGTGTTTATGTACCCATGACCTTGGGATGACTGGGAGTGGATTGTGGTATGAAAATCTTGTTGGAGGTGTATGTCTGTCTGTGTATCTGTATTTCTTGCTCATGGAATAAGTAAATGAGCTTAAAAAAAGATAAAAATTGCCTTTGAATTTTGTTAAAGGATTATATTTAATTGACTAATTCTGTTGATCTTAATTAGTCTGTAGAGAAGTTGATGTTGAATTTTTTATTTTTTTCCCCAGCACAAAGAATGAACCAGCAATGGAAGAGAAAATTCTGGAAGCTGCCTGACTGCTGGTGAAGATGTTTTATTTTTGTGGCAGACATCTGTGGGATCTGTAATAGAAATGTAAGTATAGATCATGATTTTTTTTTTTTGAGAGATTTTCACTGTAGGGCGCGTGCGCTCGCCAGACAGACAGAGAGAGACATAGAGACAGAAAGCGAGAAATCACCCCCCGGGGGGATGGTCACGCCACAGTCCCTTCTCCGCCATTCTCCTCTCGGGATCTTGGGCACGCATGCACACGCACCCGGCGCGAGTTTTAAGCCACCGGGTCCGGGACACGAACCGCGGTCGACTACGTGGGAGGCCAGCGACATAGCCATTACGCTAACTGCTGGTTCCCTAGATCATGATTTTTCTAGAGCTGCAGTGAAGTAGATATATTGGTATAAAGAAACAGTAAGTAAATATATGTTACATTTTATTTTAGTTATACAGTATGACTATTTTGTATTGACTTATAGATACTTTACTGAGTTAACTTCATTCATGTTAAATTATTATTAATACAGATTTCCAAAAGTCTCCTCATAGTGAAAGTGTCTGTAAAAAGAGAAACTGAGGGCCAGGTGGTGGCTAGTGGTAACATAACTGTACCCATATGGGAAAGGTTCTTGGTTGAGTCCCCTGATTTCCCTGAGATTTCTAGGTGTACATGTACCTGTATTTCAGACTGATTGAGACTGAAGATGGTTTGTGGCATGGGTATCTGTTGGAGGTGCTTGTGTCTGTGTGTGTTTATTTGTGTGTGTGTCTCTTTCTCATGGAAGAAATAAATTTAAAAAGTGAAATTGAAAACAGAACAATTTGCTCTTACAAGACTAAGAAACTTGGGGAGATTTTCAAGTCTTCTAGATTCTACCTTCTCTTTACATAATCATTTTACTTAAGTAACCAACCTCAGTAGATGGTATTAGCTTTTTGTTTTAAGGAAGCTTTTGTCTTCAGGTGTGTGTGCTTGCCAGAGAGAGACAGAGACAGTGAGAGGGAAAAGTGAGAAATCACCCCTCAAGTTGGGGGACAGTCATATCACAATCCTTTCTCATCCTGGGCTTACAATGGTTGACCATGTGAGAGTCCAGCAATGTTATCATTATGCCCTCTGTCTGCTCCAGGATCAGCTTTTACAAACAAGATTTCTAGGCTATAAAAAACACTGGTTTCTAAAGTCTTTTTTTTTCCTACAAGAGTTAAAGGAATTTCTTCTTTTGAAGATGTAGTATGTTACTGCTTTTTATTCATATTACTTCACCCTGATTATCTATCTTAATAGTTGTTTTCCTATCATTTAGTATTGGTGTAATATGCCCATATTGAACTCATTCTATTTTTGATGAAACATTTTTCTATGATGAACGTATTTCTCTCTTCCAAATTAATGTGGACACTATCCAGCATGATGTCAGTCATGAAAAACAAAATGAATATTTTTTTGAATTTTAAAGTTTTGGTGATTATATTGTTTAAATTGGCTCAAAGAGTGACCTCTAGATACTATTTCATTTTCTCCCAGTTTTACATAGAACTCCTAGTCATCTATTTTTCTAGTATAACTGATCATATACCACTGTTAAAAGTATGATTATGTCATTCTTAGTATATATTAAGAATTTGATATAGGAAAAATTATACCAATAAGTATAATTTAAAATTATACTTCAAAATTGAAGCAATTAAATCTTTTTTGTAACCTTGTTAATTTATCTATTTGTGTATATACTTTGTTTTTTTAAATCTGGTAGGTCAAATAATGTGCCGATCATCAGGAACTTACCTGTGGTCTATAGTCCCATATAATTAACAGTTGAACAGTGGGACACATGCCATTTGAGGTAACAATAAAATGCAATAAGATTGAATGGAAGAAGGGATTAATTTCATCTGACAGGTTCAGAATGAACAGAAGAACTTTAGTTTGGGCTTAAAGAATAAGTAGAATTTTATCATAGAAAATTAGGAAATATTTTTAGGCCAAGGGAATCAGAATGGTACAGCCGCCTACACATCAAGGCATTTTAGAGGAATAAGGGAACAATCTTATATAGAAAAATAGACTGGGATAAAAGTAAAATAAGTAAAGGAAATGTATATTTATTTAGTACCTACTATATTACTTGGTGGTTTCTGGGTGTTTTACTTGCATTATTGAATTTATTTGCTGTATGTGATAATAGTAGCCTCATTTACTGATAAAGAAACAGATTTAGGCCCAGATGCAGTGACGCAGGCATTAAAGGGTGCTTTTTTGTAGTACTGGGGGCCATATTAGAAGGCTTCATGTGTATCTGAACATGCTAAGTATACCCACTGGTTTGCCAGTGATCCTGGCCATAGGGTGGAATGCAGTTTGAAGATCATGTTAAGAGTTTCTTTCTCTCTCTAAATCATTTTCGCTCTCTTGCTCTGTCCCCAAGCCCCTTTTTAGGAAAAAGCTGAAAGAAGCAAAGGGATGGTTGGGGGGAGAAAAGATTAGGGAGATAAGTCACTTGCCTAGGCCATTGTTACCAAGTTTCTTTGAGAATAATCCTTTGGAGCACACTTGTTAATAGAAAAGTGGATTCCTAAACCCTAAGCAGTACCCCTGGGTTCATATTTCCAGGAGAGAGCCTATTAGCTTATTCTTAACTTTAGGGAAGTTTGGGAAATACTGATTTAGTTCAAAGTACTAAGTGTTTAATGATTATGGCAATAGTTTTGGAAGTCAGTGTTTAGGGATTTGAGTTACATAATGTAGGCAGCAGGAAAGTATTGAGGATAGAGAAGACCAGTTAGGTAGGACTGAATTGAGAAACAGCCAGAGGGAGAAAAAAATGGTCAGTTGGAGAGTTAGTATTTGGTACAGGAGTTGAAATTAGTCACAAGCTTTGGGAATGAAGGGCACACATATTCTAAGTTTCCATTTAGGAAAGAGAAGTGGTAAAGGGATAGGGGAGCACCAAGGATGGTTCCAGGTTTTATCTAAGATAGAGAACAAAAGAGGATGATGTAGGTTTAAGGGAGAACATAGTTTTGTTTAGTTATGTTTAATTTCAGATGCCTAGAAAATATCAAGGTAGACTTTTTGAATATAGAATTGGAAATAATGGGTTAAGGTAGAGGAGTTTTAGATATTAGGTTTTGGGATTTGTGCAGGTATGTATATTATTTAAAATATTCAGTAAATTGTCTAAGCATAGAATATACTATGGAAATCCTGCCACTCACAGAGCTTTGTGAGGAGGAATATTGGTAAGGGAAGGAGTACAAAGTTTAAGAATATGAATAGATGATTAATAATATATCATTTAATGCAATGAGATCAAGTAGGTTGACTTCACATTCTCAAACTTGGTGAACAGCACTGCCCATCCATCAGTAACCAAATGCTTTCATTTCTGTTTCTGTAGCATTTCTTTTTAAGAGAGGTGTTTTTTCTTTTCTTTGTTTGTTTTGGTTTTTTTTGCTATAGGGCACTTGCCAGAAGACAGACAGAAACAGACAGAAAGTGAGAAATCACCCCGCAGGGGAATGACCACCACAGTCCCTTCTCCTCCATTCTCCTCTTGGGATTTTAGGCATGTACACACAACTGCTCTCAGTATGAGTTTTAAGCTACCAGGTCTGGAACTCGAACCACAGTTGGCTATGGGAGTTCAGCGACGTAACCATTACACCATCTGTTGGTCCCTGTTTCTGTAGGATTGCTTATATTTTCCTGTTGGAACCTTTCATCTGCACCCTTCCTGTCTTACTCTTGAATTACTACTTAGACATACATACATTCTAGTTTCTTTTTGCCCTCCTTTCTATCAAACTTTGCTCTAAGCTGCTATTCAGGTAGTCTTGAAAAATTACTAGATTGTCACTTGAAATAAGTAAGTGAATTGACTAGATATATTCAAGAAGCAAAATTTGAGCTCTTGAATATTTCTAACTGCCTGTAGTCCTCTGTATTTTGTCTTCTTAAGGAGAGCACATACTAGTATTTATTAGCAAACATTGACTTATCTTACAGAAATATTTTACATGGTTTATCTATGGGGAGAAAAGGGGGGGTTAGGCATAAAAGTTAAAATATAACATGAACTTAGTAAAAAAAAAATCATTGAAAATGATTTCTACATTGTGTTCTTTAGCAGAGTTGGACTGATTTCAGTCTAAACTTTCTTTTGATTACTAGAGGTGTGTACATTCGTATGGAGACACATAGAGAGGGAGAAAAGCACCCTCCCAATGGGGTGAGGTCACGCCACATTTGCTTCTCCACTTCTGTATCTTGTCAAGATTTGGGGCACATATGCATGTGTACTTGGCATGTCTTTCAAGCCACTGTGGCCAGGAATCAGACCATAGTCAGCTATGTGAAATCCAGGTCCCTTAACCACTAGTCTGTGGGGCCAGCCCATTCCAAATTTCTGTGTATGTAATTACTCTTAATTTAGTAACCTAGAAATAAAATTGCCTTTTTGAAAGTGTCCGGAGCTTTCTAAACTACTAGAATGGGAATGCCTTTCTTTTTTTTTTTTTCTTTTCTCAATTGGAGAGGGTATGTGCATTCACTGGAGAGAGACAAGAGAGGTGAAAGTGAGGTTGCACTCTCCCCCACCCCATAGGTAATGGTCACATCACAGTCCCTTCCTCTCCACTTCTCCCTCCTTTGGGGATTTTGGATACGCATGTGCTCTACATGTATTTCAAATTGCTGGGTACAGGACTTGAGCATAGTCAGCCATAAGGGATTCAGTCACATTAACCACTATGCCACTCGCTGACTTGGGACTGCCTTACTTTGTTTTGCATTAATTCTTTATGAAATACTTGCTCTGCAAACGTGGGAAGAAGGGCCAAGTGGTGGCATAGCAATAAAGCAATTGAACCTATATCATAAAGGTCCTGCATCTCTATCTTCTTGAGCATGCTGTGTGCCCATGATCTTCGCCATCTGAGACTGGGAGTGGAATATGGTATGACGATGCTAGGGGCCAGCAGTTAGTGTAATGGCTATGTCACTGGACTCCCACGTAGTCGACTGCGGTTCAAGTCCCGGACCTGGTGGCTTAAACTCATGCCGGGTGTGTGTGCGT